ATTTTCATTCCGATCCCTTTCCTTCCCTTCCTTCAGGTTCCTCGTTTCCCTTCTTCTCCCCTCTATCCCTTCCGTCATTTTTTTTCCTGTCCCTTTCCTTCAGTTGTTTTCTTTCTTTCTCTCCCTCCCCTTCTTTCTTGTCCCTTTGCTTCCATGTCCCGTCAGTTCATTCCCCCCCCCCCCCCCCTCCTTTCCCGCTCTTTCCCTTCCTTCCCTTGATCTCCTTCCACGCCCTCCGTCCCTCACTCCCTCCCACCCTCCCTCCCTTCTACAGAAAGGCAGACAGAGAAATGGACAAGTTGATAGGCAGACAGATGGATAAGGAGATGAACGAACAGAAACGAATGAGCATAAGCTCAGATGCCACCCATGAACTGTCGAAATACAGACCCGAGCTCAAACCGGATAAACAGATAAAATAATTCTGAATTACCTGGGGCAGGTTAGTTGGATGCTGATATCTCAAGACTGTCACCCTTTTCAGAAAAAAAAAAAAAAAAAAAAAGGAAAAGGAAAAAAAACAAAAAGGATGGACGAACAGACGAATGTGCAGATGCAAGAAAAGATGTATGAGCAAACAAACACACGGTCAGAGACTGAGGAAAACAAATAAACAGAGGCAGACAGAACCTTTACATACCTTCGGTAAATCATTCTTGCAGTCTGCTGAAGACGCAGTCCATCTCCAAGGTTGATCCTACACACATCCAAGTGGCAAATGCCGAGCCTTGATCTAACCAGACCATGTCACTTGTTAAAACATTATTATTACAGAAAAAGAGTACTACACACACTCTAGCAAGCCGATCGGACCGTTAAAACATCCGATCGGAATCTAATGGTGATAAAGGCAGCAGCAGTGAAGCAACAAAGAAACATGGGGAGGGAAATATGGGAGAGAAAACAGTCCACAGCGATCCGGACAGCTAACCATGTAACGGCCATGGAAAGCGCAGTGCACATGGTTCAGCCATATACAGGCATACCCAACACCCAATGTGATGAATTTATGACTTACGATTAACTCAAATCGGAATCTTCCAAGTCCAGTAAGGACCTGACAGCCAATCCTTCCAAAGGAAAGCAATGAATAAGGTCAGGACCGTTCAGGAAATGGTAGCAGCCAAAGTTATCGTGAAAAACAGGGTTGGAGCAGTGGCAAATCCTCCCAATAGGGTAGCAATCAATGCTGCTGTCTCAGAATCTCTTGACCATAACGGGGAGAGACGTTAAGTGAGTACATCTGATGTAAAGGACGCTGGACCTAGTTTCCGGCATTATTCTCATTAAAAAAAAGATTTTTTTTCAATTTTTTTTCTTCAGAATCTTCCAAGATGGGACACATTCCAAGATAGGACACATGGTCAAAAACTACAAGTGCATGCCTCACAATCCCTTTTTCATGTCTATTCCATGACCGCCTCCATGTTGTTTGATATGCCGAGTGAAATAGCCCTTTTTTTCACCCCGATTCACTGCAGCTCTATGCCATCTTAACACCTTCCCATCATCTCATCTCTTCTCTCCCACTACCGTCTGCACCTCAATAGAACACCCGGTCATTGTCGCTGCACCTGGACTGAAAAGTGCCCCAAATACTGCTATAATGACAGGGCGTTATATTCGGGTGAAGACGGTAGTCAACCTCCTGAAACCTGCCCCCAATGGCCCTCTGTGATGCTCATCAAGTCCCCTCAAATTAATTCAAAATGGGTCGTACGACTCGTACCAGAACAGTTCCAAACCCAAACATCATTTGAGCTTCTTTTTCCCCTTTCACGTCTTCCGTTCGACAACATCTCTTCTTCCTCCAAAAGAAGAATGCATCCAGCCGAGGCACCGATTGAAAAAAAAAAAAACAAGAAAAATGGCAATGGTCAGGGACCCACAAACAATACACCCACTTCTCCAATCCTCCCTGTTTCCATTTCGGACTTATCTTATTCCAGTACACCCCTTTCTTTCTGCAGCTCTCCTCTTATGTGAAGAAGGTCAGGCGCTCTGGACAGGCCACTCACGGGACCATTTCACGTCACTGGAAGATAGGACCTTGTCAACGTCTTTGGCACACAGCAGTGCTGGTACGTTCTAATTCCCATCCCATTGAGTGCGACGTGACTGAATAGATCCTGCATTAGAATGGTCATAAAACACAGTATGGGAGGCATTACTCCTCACAGAAGACATGTATGCATGTGCTCAATCCGATGAGCGCAAACGCTCGTGCATCCCCCTTCTCACCTCCTTCTGCTCACCAGATGACGACGCAGTGCCCTGAACCTGGAAAACTTGGGCACATGCTGTCCGTCACGCAGCACAGATTGAGACGAAGTATCTCAATCCCTATTCACAGCCATCCCATCCTAACCTAGCGGGTGACAACGGACACCACATGCACTACGGCATGGTGTACAACATGTAGCCCTTTGACTAACTACAACCTGTTAACACAAATCGTGACCTTTCTATGGTCGCCCGCAGGCAAGATGTTTATGCATGGGACTCAGGCCTAAGCCACATTGGCTGATCTGTACCCACTGCCCAGCAACATCAAGCTTATTCGAACTCTCAAACAGAAGGATTTGATTGCAGAAAAAAGGGCTCATCATCCCGTCAGTGCACCTACCTCCGAACAGTTGATCAGATTTCCACATGGAGCACGAAGCTCCAACAAGGCTTGCTGGCAAGGCCAATGAAATGATGCAGACTACGATACAGACAGACAGACAGACAGAGAGACAGAGAGCCAGACAGCGATGGACAAGCATGGGCGTAGAAATACCTTCGTGCCATGACCTCTGTACAAGACAGGGACTAGGGAGCAATACAAATTTACAGACGGGGGCAGAGGCGACCCTGCAACAACCATGCAGAAAAGAGANCACACACACACAACACACACACACACACACAACACACACACACACACACACAACACACACACACACACGCGCACGCACACGCACATGCACACGCACACTCCGTCAGATACACACGTACACGCACTTGCCCACGCGCGCGCACACACGCAATCACTTGTTTGTGAGTGTATGTCTGTCTTTCGTTTTCCTTACAGGTTCTCTTGCATCTCTCTCTCTCAATGTCACGATCGCTCTCTCTCTCTCTTTCCTCCTCTCACTTCACCCCCCTCCATCGTCCCCTATCCGTTCCTCCCCTCTCGCCACCTACCCTTCACTCAGTGGCTATGGCGGACAGTTAAGTTGGCTACCGGGCATGTCGATGCTGGGGGGAGGGAGCTTGCAGGTGGGTCGGCTGTACCGCGGAAGGACTGCGCCGCAAAAGTGCGAAAAAGACAATAAATTTTTCGGACAGATTATCAGGCGATTCGAAACATGGAGGACTCGTGCAAAAATTACTTGAAGGATAATGGAGAACATCTCAAGAACGCCCAGAGTAAAGGGCAACTATCAGTTAGCAGACAGACCCAAAAAGCGAAAAAAAGAAAAGGGTAATTAAGGCAGAAGACCGAAGTGCACGGAGAATGGCTCAGTCAGTCCGAAACGGGAGTTGCCCCTATTGTCCTTCGGGACATCCGTTAAAATTAGAGCGACAGCATGGCCCCTGCGCAAGGACGACACGCAGAAATCAAGAAATGGTCCCAAAAAAAAAAGGAAAAAGGCAAAGGGCCTTTTTCTTTTTCCTTTTTCTTTTTTTGTAAAAGACCGACGGCCTTGAGAGATCATCACTGAGCTGAACGGCCCCAGGCAGTTCAGGCAATTCAGGCAATTCAGAAATATCTGGTTTCATCATCTGGATTCGAACTCTGGTCAACAGTTCATGGGTGTACCCACTGAGCTGGCTCTTGGGTAAAGGGCCTTTCTCCACACCACTAAAGAATCCTCACTTTGTCCCCCCACACCACTAAAGAATCCTCACTTTGTAAGGGCGCCCTTAGAACGAGAACCTGATTGTCCAGTTGATGCAGCTCAGTGGTTAGAGCACCGGTTGGAAATGTGCATTGTGGTACAAGGTTGCGGATTCAAAACCCCCCAGCCTTGTGCATGGACACCGGCAGGGCGTTAGATTGACGCACGACTGGACACATCCCCTCGGGCTGACGCATGGTACTATTACAGACACTGCCTGCGCACCACCCAAGGGTAGTCCACGGTGTTGTATGTTAGTTGTGGGTTTCACAGGGTTTGCTTGGGGTGTTGGTCTCGGATGTTCTGATGTTCTCCCCAGTCTGGCATATCACACGTTCGTTCCATTTCCAGTAGTTGCTCATACAGTAGAGTCTTGGATTACATGTTACAAGGTTACGGGTTTGAGCTTGGTTCGGTCCTTGGGGGGGGGTCCTTGTCCAGCTTGCCCCGTTCTCTCCTCGATACACACACATGATTCACATAATATACACACAAACAACAGGCTGGGGAGCTAGTCACTGGTGAGGTCTAGTGCCTGCAGTAGGTTCAGGTAGGTTGGATAGGGTGCCATTGGGTGCAGTTACTACTGACATTCGGATAGAAATGTCTGGTGGCTATATATGGGGCCTGTAGTTCATTGTCTGGGCCTGGCGTCCGAAGTTCCCGTTCATGTGTATAAGAGACAGCTCTCTCTCTCTCTCTCTCTCTCTGTGTGTGTGTGTGTGTGTGTGTGTGTGTGTGTGTGTGTGTGTGTGTGTCTGCACTCATATGTCTCTCAGCATTTCTTCAACCTCAAGACATATGATGCTCCGAACTGCTTCTAACCAACCCTCACAGTAACCTGCATTCGGGAATTCCTCCCTTTCAATGCTTGCACTGCCGCTCCTTTGCAAAAATGCTGACTGACACCAAGAACAATGCAGCTGCTGCAAATTTAAGGTGGAGATTGGCCTCACAGTCTGGCAGTTCCATATTCCCATCATATTAATGCAACACCACAGTCTGTCCCATCATGTGATTTCTAATGCATCTACAGATTGAGTGACAACAGCTCAACCTCAGAAGGTGCACCCACTCTCTCTTCTTGTGACATATGCAGGACTTGGAGGATGATATGTTGGCTTGGCTTCATTGCTCTTAACAATGCCCTCTTGCAGCTCCTGTCTGTCAGGATCAACAAGCACCACCTTGATGGGCATCCCGGGAGGTGGTACCCTTTCACCCCACCTTGCTTTCTGGATTGATGAGCATCACCATAATTGATTCCCAATGAGGTAACTTTGCAATAACTTTGCAATAAGTCACAGATGCCGTCTCACTCACTCATGGAATCCCTTCTCATGACCTCGACTACCACACATTCCACCCAACTTCCCTCTGCCATCACTCATCCTCATCAATTGTATACTCCCGTTGGCTATGTTGTGGCACGAATCCAAGGCATCCATGCCTGTGGGTCAGAAAGTGTGTGAGAGATGTGGAGTGCGCTGCACATTTCATAACCCCCACTTTGGTTGACTGAACATTGTCCTCCTGCACTTCTACGTTGGCTTGATTGGCTCACAGCATGTCCGTCGTGTGTGGCCTTTGCACTTGCAGCGGCTGCACCTGAAGACCTTGGTCTCTCTACCAGGATCGCCATGACGGTTTCTGCGCTTTCGCTGACATACTGGAGCTCGTCTCGTCAATGGAGGCAAGACATCGGCATGCGCAATCGCACGGCTGTTCCCGTCGGTGGTTCTCTCTCCATCTTCTGGGAACACCCAGCAATCCATGGCAGGAATGGGATGAACAATACCAGTGTATGTCTGTCGAAACGCAGAAACGGCGAAGTAATCCTCACAGTAGCTCTGTGGTTGCTCGCCCTTGGTGGAAATTGCACAGACAGCATGGGCACACGGCACCCCGTATTTCTGCCAACCTCCACAAGTGCAAGTGCGATGGTGAAGTCGGACAACATAAGACGAGTTTCCAGATATGATCTCATACTCGTCTTCAGTTGCTGGCAGAGCCCGATAGCTGCTAGCTCTTCTGATGGCATTTTGCACTCTCTCCTCCGTCTTGGCAACAACAGCTCCCTCCATGGCTGCTGCTGCAGCCCTCCGTTCCACAAACCATTTGCACAGCTGCCGGCGAATCGTCTCCATCATTGGGATCGGTGGTTTCTCTTTCACAGAAACCAGCCACGAGGCCTGTGACTCTGATAGCACGCACGCTAGATGCCCATACCGTTTTCCCTCAAAGAACGCAGAGCTCCAATACATAGGGTCTGCGTTCTGTAACAACCATCCGGCTGCCGCGGGATCAACACTTCTCATCTCAGCCATGGTGTCTCCAAAACGGGCCGGAGTGGTTGAACAGGCAGCTTCCCACAGCAATTTGCGCAATTGCGGGTGTTTGTAGTGCTGCCACATCATCTCTGCCAGATGTTGTATGCAGTAGCCATGTTTTACATCCCCAAACACGGCCTGCACACCTTCCACCAACCCCTTCTTACGGTCAGAAAGAAACGTGAGCTCACGGGAGCTGTTATCATACTCATTGATACACGAGCGGAGACTCTGCAGGAACCACAACCAGTTGGCGTCATTCTCTTCATCAGCCACACAGAAGGCAACAGGGAACACACCGCCCTGAGCATCAGCCCCGTTGGCCACAAGCAGAGCACCAGGGTATTTGCCCTTGAGGGAAATTGTATCGAGACCAATCAGCGGCCGACAGTGGCGGAAACCCGAGAGCGATGCCGCGTATGCAATGAACAGTCGTTGGAAATGCTGTGTTCCAGGCACCACCTCTACAAATGCATGGCTGCCAGGATTGGTGAGAAGAACCTGAACACAGTAGCTGCGCAGCTTCTTGTAGCCATCGTAGCCCGACCCACCAATGCGTGCCATCGCTTGCTCCTTCCCCCTCCAGGCTCGATTATACGACACCGTTACACCGGTCATTCGGCGGAGGTCTGCAATGATCTCCTGAGGAGTATAGCCTGGTTTTTCCTTGAGCTTCTGAGTGACATGATCTGCTATCCACCTGCTGGACGCATGCCTATTGGCCAACTGGGCATAGCCCTCACAGGTGTGCCCACGTAAGCTCTTCACCTCGAACATTGGCCCGCCATAGACTGCAGAAGCATGAAGCCTCCACGTACAGGTTTCCTCACGACAGACAACCGTGTACCGATGAAGATCGGATTTCACCACTTTGATCTCGAAGTGATCAGCTACTGCAGCATCTGCTACCGCCTTGCGAAGGAGGGCTACACTGTCGAACCTCTTCCCAACAGCAAGGGCACTTCGCATCCCTTCGTATGGGATAATCTCATCATCATTCTTCAGCTCACCCACAACCATTTGCTGCTCGCCTGAGGTAGCAAGCGGAAGATCGGGTTCAAGATCATCGGAGGATGACGAGGAAGGCCCTGATGCAGTTTGTGCTGGTGACTTCCCACCTTCTAACATGGGCGCAATCACTGCCATGGCCAAATTAGCAATTTGAGATGTTGCAGGCATCCTATCCCGCCCGCTGTCCCAGCTAATTCCAGGCTCTTCGAGCCTAGCTGAATCTCCCTGGTCCTGGGGAATCCCTTTGCTGTGCTCCTGCTCTTGGATCTGCCGCTGCTGCTGTTCCTCCTGTTGCTGTTGCTGTTGCTGTTGCTGTTGCTGTTGCTGTTGCTGTTGCTGTTGCTGTTGCTGTTGCTGTTGCTGCTGCTGCTGCTGCTGTTGCTGCTGCTGCTGCTGCTGCAGCTGCTGTTGCTGTTGGTGGTGCAGCTGCAGCTGCTGTTGTTGCTGCTGCTGCTGCTGAATCTCCTGGTCAAAGATGATAGGTCCCCCCATGATGTTTGAGGAGGCATTTGCTTCAGAAACGGAGCACCTGATCTGCTGCTGTAGCTGTTGTTGCTGCTGTTGCTGCAGCTGTAGCTGTTGCTGTTGCTGTTGCTGTTGCTGTTGCTGTTGCTGTTGCTGTTGCTGTAGCTGTTGCTGCTGCTGTTGCTGAAGCTGTTGTTGTTGTTGCTTCTGGTGCTGCTGCTGCTGTTGTTGCTGCTGCTGTCCCTGCTGCTGCTGCTGCTGCTCCTGAGCCTGCTGATCAAAGATGATAGATGCCCCCATGATACTGGAGGAGGCATTGGCTTCAGGAACGGAGCATTGCATCTCCTGCTGTGGCGGCTGCCGCTGAATGGCAGCATTGGACTCCTGCACACTGGATTCAAGCCCAGCCAACAAGTTACTGCCGAGTTGGCTCTGCTGTATGATCTGATGCTGAACTGGCTGTTTGTGGCGCTGTGGCGGCTCTGTTTGCAATGGGGCGGGGGGGCGTATGGGAAGCGGTCGCTGTGTCTGGACCAGCTGATGCGTTGCCAGCCGTTGCGGTGATTGCAGTGGCAATTGCGTCTGTTGTGTCTGAAGTGGCCTCTGCTGTGACTCTTGCGTCTGGTGCTGCATCTGTGGCTGCGGCTGTTGAGTCTGCAGAGCGATGTCTCCAGGCTGTGCCTGCAGGGGCATCTGCCCCTGCTGCCCCTGCTGTTGCTGCAGCGACAAGTCTGTCTGGTGGGCTTGCAATGGCCGCTCCAGCTCCGTATGCTGAGTCTGCAGCGATAGCTGCGTATGCCCCAGCACTAGTTGTGCCTGCTGCTGTGCTTGCTGTGCCTGCTGTCCTTGGTGTGGTAGTTCCGTTGCCAATCCCCCCAAATGTGTGTGCAGAGACAGCTGCGGTTGTACTAGCGGCAGCTCTGTCTGCAGTCCCAGCTGTGTCTGCAGCGGACCCTGCAGTGACGACTGAGTTTGCTGAGTACGCGCTGGCAGCTCCAGCTCCATCCGTCGTGCACGCTCTGCCTGCTTTGGTTGTTGTGCCTGGTGTGCCTGCAGTTGTGGCAGCTGTGCCTGCTGTGTCTGACGTGTCTGCATCGGTATGTCAGAATGTTGGGTCTGCAGTGCCAGATCTACCTGCTGTGTCTGTGTCTGGAGTGGCAGAGGTAACTGCGCTGCCTGTAGGGACAGCTGCGACTGATGCAGAGGAAGTGGTGCCGGCAGCTGCGCCTGTAGTCGCTGGATCATTTGGAAAGCGTCAGCTAGCTGGCGCTCCAGGTATTGCATTCGTTGCAAGCTTTCAGTGTGAAGAAGCTGCGGCTGCTGCTGATGATGAGGCAGCTGCAGTTGATGGCCTTCCTGCCACTGCTGGAAAGGTGGGACCTGATCGCCCCCCTCAGCCGCAGACTGCACTACCTGACCTGGCACATCCATCTCCACCACAGCTCGACAGCGATGTCCAATAGGATGAAACAGGAGGGCGAGTAGGAGAAGGTGCACGGCCAGTGTAATCGGGTGGAGCAGAGCGAGGGATAGGACTGTCCAGATCCAAGGAGGGAACAAGAGACACACAGCAACAAGAAGGGAGGACGGAAAGGTGGAGGCGAAGAAAAAAAGGAAAGAGGAGCTGGAGGAGGAGGAGAGGGGTCAGTCGAGGACGGAAATGTCCAGGGGCAAGGGCAGCAAGAGGGACACTTGACAAGGCAGACGTTGCGGTTGGACAAGGAAGCGGGAAAGGAGCAGATGGGAGAGTAAGAGAGAAGGAGGAGGAGGAGGAGGAGGAGGAGGAAGAGAAAGAGTGGAGCACAAGAAAAAGGGGAGAAAAAAGAAGAAGAAGGTGGGAGCACAAGAAACAGGGGAAGGAGGTGAAGGAGGAGGAGACGAGGAGGAGGAGGAAGAAGAGGGGAGCACAAGAAAATGGGAAGGAGGAAGAAGAGGGCGACAATGAGTAGGGGCGGGCGGAGGATAAAAAAAACAATAAACGATAAATAAAGCAAAGAGATGGGTGCGATGTGGCGAAACCGGGTGCCCAGAGTGAAACGAGTGCTAGGGGATAATAACGCGGGGGTGGGGAAAGGGGGGTGAACGTGCGCAATGACACACGAAAAGACAAAGAAGCAAAAGAATTCCAAAAAGAACGCAACGCAAGGGAGAGGGGAGAGCGGGAAAACAAGAAAAGGTGAAGAGCAGATGCGAAAGAGAGGATAGGATCAAAGGAACGAACCGGAAGGAAAGGAAAAGCGGACGAGAGGAGGGAAAACAAGAGCTAGGGTGTGAACGGCAGGAGAGAGAAAGCAAAGGACGAAGACAAACTAACGATCTGACGATGGCTGAAGACTGGTGGAGGACCGAACACCGCCGTCAGAGACGAAGAAGAAAAAGATCGCGATGGCGAGTGACAGGGGTGGAAGAACAGAGTTTACGGCGCCGTCAAAGAAGAAGAAGGAGGAGGAGGAGGAGCAGGAGGAGGAGAAGGAGGAGGAGGAAAGGAAGACGGTGGGTATGCGGGGGAAGACAGACGCATGGAAATGGGAGCTTCGACACGTTTGGAAAAAGAGGAGACTTACGTGCTTCTTCGCCGGTCCCTCTCCCTATGAAGACTCACGTATTTACTGCTCCTCGATTCCAAAACCCATTGGCGCCATATCTCTCTCTCTCTCTCTCTCTCTCTCTCTCTCTCTCTCTCTCTCTCTCTCTCTCTCTCTCTCTCTCTCTCTCT